GTGCGCCTGCATGGCGGGTTGAGCTGAATCTTGAACTTTCCTATTCTCGCGTTCCCCCCTACCATGTCAACTGCTACCTCCATGGCTCTGATTCACCTGAACCAACGGGCTCACGAGCTGCAGATGCAACTTGTCCGTGGCTCGTCAAGCGATCCTGGGGCAGGAAGAACGCTGAACCAAGTCTATTCGCACGTCGGCGACTATTTGGGGACGCAGGTGAATCGTGCTGCACATCGCTGGGGCAGAGGTCCTTCCGCGACCTCCCACCGCATCGCCGCGTTCTTCGGCACAGGATCGCAGCGAGAAGACAATCTCGACGCTTTCCGCATTGATAACTGTCTATTTCTGGAGGAGGAATGCTCCAGGCTTCTCAAATATGCGTTGCCGTGGGTGAAATTTCATCTCTATCAAAGTCTTGGTTGAACTGCAGATTCGTATGTAGGCGCGAAACAGCGCGAGTACAGGTTGATGCATTCAAATGTATCGTGACCATTACAACACGATACCACGGGACGCGCAGACTCTTCCTCAAATTGAAACACATCCGACGCCCTGGAAATACTACGGAGGCCCTGATCTCTGCGGTTTGGGCCCGCGCGGATGACACGCAGCTTCAAGAATGGGATTATTACTGCCAATTTGCGGCAGCCTGTCTCTCTGAAAAGGAAATTTCTCCAATTCTTGGGAATATTTCGCCCCGAAGTTTAGGCTCTATCGACGGCGATTTGAGCGTCATCGAGCGCCTGTTGATTGCGTCAGAATTCAGGTATGTTATCATCTTCCATAACCGCGTTATTGATTCTGATTTTATACAAAGTGCTACTTCCATCTCCGATGCTCTTGCCCAGCGATATTTGGCCGGGGTCCTGGAACTACCCGCCTTCTGGCAGGAAAGTGGCGCAATACACGTTGCCGTATTCACCAAAATTTTAGACCGTATCACATGCGTTCTGAATGACCTCGGGATGGACTCGGACGAAGACTCGGACGAAGACAAGTGTGGTATAATTTTTGACCATGAGGGAATCGACTCCATGACCAGCGCGATATTGATTGGCGTCTTGAACTGGCATCCGGAGGACCCAAAATCACAGTACTGGTATCACAGTCTCTCTGAGATCATGCGGTTACTGCGTCGGCATGTCTTTCTGTATCCTTTTCCTAAATTCGCAACTTACTTTCTTCTAGGCCACGGGCTGAACCACTTCTACCGGCGTCGGCCGCGCTTGCGACTGGTCCCGACATGAAGAATATTATTCCCGACACTACACCCGTGACATTAGACATTTTGACCAGAGCGTACGTCTGATTTGGAAACAACGGTTTGGATGTTAACAATCCCGTGTAGAGACGTGAATGAGATCTCGGAAATGCGCACCGATCGTGAGTGTCCAACATCGTCCCACACCTTGCTAATTTTTCTGTCTATAGATATCAGCATTCGGAGCATCGGCGACTTGGTGAACGATTCCGTTCAGGACGTGGGTTCTGTGGCCCCGCGAGTTGTGTACACCGAGGCTGCTACACCTCTTCGGTCGGCGACACTTGGCAGCAGTCTTCGCAGATGGTCTTCGGGTTTATATAAACTCGGAAATGGCCACAAGAAAAACGTGCCTACATCCTCGACAAAAAGGCCCAAGAGGATTCTAGGGTGGTTGCGGGCGCTATTGTCGCGCAATACTTCCCACGAATTTGTGGCTTCTTCGGAGACGCCAACAGAGGATATCTCAACCCATGGTAATTCTATCTCCTAGCCTGCGCCGGGCTCATCGGTCGAGTGCGATGAAGACGAGGCCGGTGGAGAGGATTCTGAGAGCCAGGCAGGTTCAGACAGAACTTCCATCCAAACAATTAGCGCCAATGGTTCAGAGAATGAACAACATCCATCCATGAATCAAATCACATCTTCCGCCGTTTCGTCCAACGGCACAACAAGGGATGCTCTTAACGGTTCACTTGAACGTGATATTGTGCCCGAAGGAACATCCGTGAGTCCCTGACTAGCATTTCATATTTTCAGGTGTTTATTTTCTTCCAGACAATTCCCTTGAACATACCAACTGCCCAGCGCAGTCCTGATATGCTACTCAATGAAACGAGCGATGTGACGGTGGCGGCAGAGGCGGAGCCTTATTCTCAACAAATGGCACATTCAGACGGAATGTTCATCCAAACGAGTAGTGCCAATGATTCTGAGGATGAACATTCATTCATCAGGGAGCACCCGCCCGCCTTGCCGCCAAACAACATGACCAACGAAGCTCTTATCAGTTCAACAGGGACGAGTCGGGATTATCATCCTGGGAGAAATTATGTCAACAACTGTACTCCAACGCCCCAACCTCACCCCTCAGACTTCCAGTTCAAGCGAGCAAACCATTCCCTGAGTTGGGTTGAGTCCGCCGTTGGCCCTGCCCATGAAATGATCTGGACGGTGCAATGCAAAGGTACGAGGAAACTTGGTGCGATTTACTGTCTTGTTCATCGTCCCTTCAAGTGTCCGGCGAGGTCAAAGGTGCCACAGCATTTGTAACTTTCACCATATACTAATTTGTTGTTAAAAAGGCACCGGTGTTGCTCATTCGAAGGCCGCTGCCAAGGAAGAGGCGGCGAGGCAGGCATTGGTGGTAAGCAATCGATCATTTTGTCTATTTGTGAGTGACCTTGATCTCCAGGCTCTGGGTGTCTCTAAATAATGAGACCCAAGATCCCACCGAGTTAATTGTCTTTTTCCCTGTCATGTATCCATCCTTCGCATATTCGTTCACGTGTGTCTTATGTTTGATTCCCAAATCAATTAAAATTCTCGGCAGCATATTTCCCGCGAGCAACACCTCTAGTTTGAAGTACCGAAGTAATGTTTTAGGCTGGGTCAACATCTTGGAATGTTGTTTCGCATGTATCTGTACAGCTAGCATCGGCGCGTTGAAGGACTGAAGCAATTCAGAGAGCATGGAAAAGTCCGGTCATGGAGAGAGAAGTTCACACATACACCAGTGGTACCGAAATAACAACCCCTGCACTTAGTACGCCCGAACACCCAAGGTTTACAGTAAAAGTTCACCTTTCACTCGCTCTCAAGTTACACTCATGGAATCATGATCACACTGTATATCAGCACCATTTGATGAGCTGGAACTGTTTTCCAAGACAGACGTCGAGAAAAATGAACCGTGGGAATTCTGGCTGTCAGTGGATCAGGCATCGCATTCCAACCTCGATTGCACGGAAAACCTGGTTAGCACACGTTTACTACGGTTTCTCTGTTCCCATCTTGCTGTACATTTGGGCTCCAAACAATTGCGGCTTCGAACTTCAATTGTCTTGTTCAAAGATTCTCATTTACTTGGGAGTTTTTGAAATCATCTCCTGTTCTTCCGTCCACCATTTTTCAGGATTCTAAGTGCAGATGATATTTGATTTCAACAGGCTGTTTGTGAGTCGAAGCTGAGTAAATTGCTTTCTCCTTGTATCTCCATGCCCGTCCTCTTGAGTACCAATTCTGGTCCCCCAAAAAATTGCCCCACATATATAAGCATTCTCGCATTGACGAATGTCGCGCCACGCGACATACATGTCGTCGATGAGCGTGCAGATTTTTTGGGTGTCTATTCTTCCGCTTCCGCCGAATCACCACCAGAAAACAATGTGTTTATCATCATGCTCTTACAACAACTTAATACCCTGAACGATTCGTACCGGGAACACAGGAGTATTGGTGCTACCACTTATATCTATGGTACAACGTGCTCCCCAGATCAGAAAAAACTCACGTTGAAGTGCTCAGGCAATGTTTTGCGCTTCAAGTTTGATTACCACCATTTTTCAACATAAAACACGTGACCTTGGTTCAATTCTTCGGCGAGCCCTCAGGGTACAGCGCTCATTAAAGATTACTATGGGCCAGTACTTATCAGCACAATGACAATATTTGAGGTCATCAGGGCTCAGCCTGAGTGTGCGGAGATTCGGGGATGGCCTGGGTTGGAGTTGGTACATTTTGGTTTATTCAGCATCCTAGCAATCATCAAGAGGCCCACACTACGGAAAATAGAAATAATGAACCTTCAACCTAAGGGAGGAAGGACCAAAGGATTTTTGGGCCTGACATTCTGAATCCTGATTCAACCGGGAAGTCCGATCCTCCGTTTGTAGATTTAAAACAAACAAATATTAGGGATCCCAATTTGCGGGGCACCTAATAAGAATATCATAATCAAGCACTCCAGCCAAGTGTGAGGACAACTCGGATGTGCGCCCGCTCGCAATAAAAGCAGAATCTGTCGCATGTGGTTAAAGCGGGCCGAGCGAGGCCTGGGTTCGATTCCCCAGCATCCGAATCCCTACCAAAGTTGCAATTTTTTTCTTTTTCTGTCCGGGTGTATCTCGGAGTCGGTTGTTACCGCTAGAGAATCTTGTTCTCATATTTATATGACCCTCAAGTTGGGCCCAGGTTATTAACCTATGTTTGTCATCGAACCACTCCTACCGTAGTGCTTATGGCTACTTTTATTGACGGTGGCGGCGGCCGAGAAGCGAGAGAAAAGAAAAAGACACAATGTTGGGCCCCACCTAATTTGAACCAGGATTCCGTGATAATGACGCTGTCTGTGTCGTAATTAGTATTAGAGGACACGACGAGGCCGTCGTTAAAGCTCAACCCCGGCCCGCTGTGAAGAAGAAGAATAGTCCACAATTAAAAAAATCAACTACCAAGTGGACTATGGCCTCACCTTGATTCGAACAAGGGACTTCCTCGGGAATGCGTCACGATTGATCCATCATTAATGGAGGACGTGTTACCACTACACCATGAGGCCGTGATGCTATCAGAGTCATATTGGCAAGCAGTTGACATTTCGCTATCGAGTGTATCATATACTTGAATCTGAACACTGCAAGGAAAATATCAATAAGAACACGTGAATACAGGGATTTAGATTAAAATTCTGAAGAAGAACTTGGAATAACCAGGGAAAAAAAATCACAAACTATGAGAATGGCCCCACCTTGATTCGAACAAGGGATTTCCTCATGAAGACCCTCCATTGCTTATCAACAGAGGATGTGTTACCACTACACCAGGAGGCCATTGATAAATTCCGTGAGGGAGCAGCTGATCTCGTTCATCGAGTCTATACAATACGTGAATCTGACTGAACAAAAATCATAGATTGCAAGGAGAATACAAATGAGAACACGCGAATGCATGGATTCAGATTCAAAGAACTGGGAATAACTGGAAAAAAAGAAATCACCAACTATGAGAATGGCCTCACCTTGATTCAAACAAGGGAATTCCTCCTGAAGTGATTTGCAGCAGGTATCAACAGAGGACGTGTTACCACTACACCATGAGACCATGATGGAACAGCTGACAATGAAACAACCTTCGTTTCATCATCAATGGTTTGAACCAAAATTACAAAGACTACTATGTCCGTGGCTCGAGTACAGGTCAATTACGAGGAAAATACCAATGCGATCGAGATTAATATTCTGAAGAACTCGACATAACCGAAAAAAAAGTTCAGCTGGCACGAGAATGGCCTCACCTTGATTCGAACAAAGGATTTCCTCCAAAGAATATCCTTGCGGGTCCATATTAGTAAAGGACGTGTTACCACTACACCACAAGGCCGCGATGCACTTTACTGGCAAGCAGCTGATATTTCATCCTCTACGGTTTGAATGAAAATCACAAAGACTGAGCCTGCTCCGAGTCCAGTGTAAATTGCCAGGTAAAATATGTGACTAATTTTCACAAAGAATTCACAGTCTCAACGGATTTCGGCAAACTCTATCGGCTGGCTCGCATTTTTCATCAAGTCCTAAGTTAGAAGTTGAAAGTCCAAGTCAAAAGTCCAAAGTCAGATTGATCTCGGCCTGAGCGAGTACTATTCCCACGCCTTCTTAATTCTGTTTCTTTCCATTTGTACAGAGGTATTGTCTGAGGAAATTGGATTGGATGGTGGTATGAAAGATACTTTCCCCGACATGCATGCAGATTTTTGAATACACCTGATGGCATAATTATTTTATGAGATTTTCCTTCTTTGACGCCAAACATAGAGCACTAGGGATCAGTTATGCAGTCTTCTAGAGTACTAGTAGTTAGCAAGCATCAGTTGCATGGTGGTTTTTCCATTTTTAATGTTCTTGAGCTGCGCGTTCTTCAATGGTTTCAGCCCCGAAGACCAATCATTTGCATCAACTCCTAAGAGCACACTAATCCTCTCTGTCCTTGTTCCCAATCCCGGTTTAATTTTAATGTTGTAAAAGAGTGAATACAATTATTGAGTAAGCTGCCTCATTTCTTTCAGGGTGTTGAAAAACCAACCATTTTACACTGAAATTTCACTATCAAACGCTGACCATATGACGGACAATATCAGCTCCAAGATATTTTCAAAAACAGTACCAAAGGGATCATATGATGTAGGGAATAACATCTGTTGTCTCTAGTCAGTGCGTGAAGATTCAGATTGGGGCGGCATTTCTCTTTTTGGTGATCGGCAAGTCGCGGCCCGAGATCAAACGGTGATCCGAAGTTGCGACTTCGATTATTTTACGAAGAATAATGCCATAAAAAAATCCAATGACAACGTGAATGTAGGATTTAGATTCTGAAGAGTAAAGGAAAACTCAACCTAACGGCCCCCCCCAAAAAAAAGCAGACTGTTGAGACAAAAGACCTCGCCTTGGTTCGAACAAGGAACTTCCTCGGAAGCCATCAGCTATTGGTTAATTATCAGAGAGTGTGTTACCGCTACACCACAAGGCCATAATGGCCAACAATTCGTCATCAAGTGTATTGATTCTGAACGAAAATTATGAGTGTAGATTTGCAAAGAATGAGAGGACACGGATGCAGAGATTCAAATTCTGAACAACTTGGAATAACCAGGGAAAAAGAAATCACAAACTACGAGAATGGCCTCACCTTGATTCAAACAAGGGACCTCCTCAAAACCAAGCTAATGTGGACTATCAATTGAGGATGTGTTACCGCTACACCACAAGGCCGTGATGGATCTCAGAGTCATTGACAAGCAATTGCCATTTCGCTATCGTGATTCTGAACCCTAACACGAAAAAAAAAATGAACAAACATCTCAAGAATGACCTCACATTGATTCGAACAAGAGACTTCCTCGAAGACGAAGACGGCGGAACAATCAACAGAGGACATGTTACCACTACACCACAAGGCCATGATGGTTCTCAAATTAGTTGACTGGTGAGCAGCTGACATTTCGTCATCTTTTAATTTGAACGAAAATCACAAAGCCTCCATCTTGTATAAATTGCAAGGAAAATACAAATAAGAACACGCCAATGTGGGGATCTAGGCTCTGGAGAGTGAAAAGAACTCAACCTAGCCCTCCAAAAAAAAAGAAAATTCAGCTACAACGCGCATGGCCTCGCCTTGATTCGAACAAGGGACTTCCTCAAATATCAGACAATTGTGGAAGATTAATTGAAGATGTGTTACCACTACACCACGAGGCCGCGATGGATTGGGATTTCGCTATCGAGTGTAATAGACGTGAATCTAAACAAAAAGCAAATTCCAAGGAAAATATTAATGAGCACGCGAATGCAGGGATTTAAATTCTGAATTCGGCGTAACAAAAAAGAAACAAAAACTTTAAACGTGCTCCTGAATGGCCTCACCTTGATTCGAACAAGGGACTTCCTCATACCAATTTTGTCTCGGCCATTAACTGAGGATATGTTACCACTACACCATAAGGCCATGATACCTTGGTGTCCAGAAGCTGATATTCCGCCATCTATAGTTTGAACAAAAATCACAAAGCCTGCATTCCGCGTAAATTGCAAGGAAAATACAAATAAGAACACGCCAATGCGGGGATCTAGGCTCTGAAGAGTGAGAAGAACTCAGCCTAGCCCTCCAAAAAGAAAAAAGATCAGCTAGATCATGCATGGCCTCACCCTGATTCGAACAAGGGACTTCCTCAAATATAAACCAATTGTGAATAATTAATAGAGGATGTGTTACTGCTACACTATAAGGCCATGATGGATCCTAGAGTCATATTGACAAAGCTGACATTTCGCTATCGAGAGTATAATATACTTGAATCTGAACAAAAATCATAGGTTACCAGATGAGCACACGCGAATGCAGGGATTCAGATTCTGAAGCAAACCTCGCGTAACAAAAACAAAACAAAAACTTTAAACAGACTCCTGAATGGCCTCACCTTGGTTCGAACAAGGGACTTCCTCATAGACAATCTGGTCCAACATATTGACTGAGGATGTGTTACCGCTTCACCACGAGACCGTTACGGCTCAGCTGACGTCGAGGATTAAAGATGGCCGACATTTGTTCACCTAGTAGTGTTACAGTATGAAGTCTGAAATGAAAACGCTATTGTAGGGAAAATAGCAATCAAGACGCGCGAATGCGGGGATTTAGATTCTGAAGAGTCGAGAACAACTTGAGTTGGTCAAAACAAAGAAAGAAAAAGCTCAACAGAGTAAAAATGGCCTGGCCTTGATTCGAACAAGAGGATTCCTCGGAACTGTGGAGATATTTTGGCGTAATAATAGAGGGTGTGTTACCGCTACACCACCAGACCGTCGGTGGTGGTTCGGTTGAGTAAAGTGTGGAGTGTTCTGGAATGCAGGTGCAGCATTTTCTTTCTACGCCTGGGTGCAGTAGTTCAGCGGCGGCTGTCGCCAAGATGGCCAGGAATAAGTCAAGGGAAGAATCGGTAGGAGTGGACCGAGTGGATGGAAATTGAAGTACCGACAGCATTACCACAGCGCTGCCTCGGTGGCGTACCACGAGGCTGTCGAGGATAAGATTCAAAAATATATTATCAGCTCAAGTTTGCTCATGCGGCGTCGAGTTCCACAGTGGCCGCTTCGGGCCGACCTGACAAACAACAGCGACGGGGTAGGACGGCGGGGATGAGAAGGGGAATTGATAAGCACGACAAATGTCAAACGCCGCCTTAAGGCCGCGGGAACAAACGGGGATGGACGACGTCATTGTGACATGTGAGTCACAGCCTGAATAAACCGGAAGCATCTTTCTTTGCGTTTTATTTCTCGCTTGGACCGTGTCGATGAAGCACGCTCGATTCTACACTGCGCTGCCCCGCGTCGGCCGTGTCAGATCAAACTCAGCCTCCCGTGCCCTCTACACAAACCCAACAACCCTCCCTCTTGGCTCTTTCTTCGATACTCCCCCGCCCCCACCCCCAAATACCCGTCTTACAACACACCGTCTGCCCATCGAGGCCCGCGGTGAAGTCGAAGGTCCCAACAACGCTAACGGCAACGCCAATCCCCACGCCCCGCTCGCACTCGCCGCGCCCCACCCCCCAGCGAACCAGCACCCCTACCCTGCACAGCTCGCTCTCCTCTTCCCCTACACCCCCGGACCCGCGCCGAAACACGGGGTAGCACCGTCGACCAGTGGCACCCGCGCGCAGCGCCGCCGCGGGCCGAGGTATACACTCGACGTCGGCGCGTATGGGATTCCGAAGCGCGGGCATAGGGTGCGTGCGCTGCATACCCATGCGGAGGCGCCAGCGGTGCAGGCGGGCGAGGACGCCTGCTTTATTGAGAACTCCATGGGTGTGGCGTGGGTGGATGGTCTAGAGTGAAGCATCCAGGTGTGCCGCTACTTTTTCCTGTGTTTTTTCTTCCTCTTCTTCGGAGCCTGTGGTCCCGTACCCCTCGCGGACGTCTGGATTTTCTGCGGCATTTTCACACGTCTAGGTCTTTTGTTGTCCAGTTCCCGGCCCTCATTCTTGTGGACCTGTTACTGATGCACCTATCGTCCCACCTCGCATTTTTATTACTGGCTTCCTTTCCTTCCTCTCTTTTGGCCGGCAGAGTGTATGTCCTATCGCCGGTGTCTGTAATCCCTGACTCGGCGTATTCAACCTCGCTCTCTTTCTGGACGGTGTAACGCACTCGATGTCCCGCACGCCCATGAGCGATGGGAAGACGGGGCGCTGGTACGCGAGCACATTGTTGGAAACTCGGAATTGCTGGCTCTTTGGGTACGAGACGAGAACGGAGGCATCTTTTACCTTACTCACAGCGTTTGTCGGCGTCTCTCCTACTTTGGGGTACTTGTGACGGCCTCATATTATATTCTTAGCCACATCACTTTTTGTTGTGCAGAATAACATGGATTTCTTTCAGAGCATAACAATCCGTCAAAATCCACCTCCTTCCTTCCTTCCGTGAGAACCATGAATTACAACTTACCGAACGTGCGAGCTTGATACTGGTTTCTTTTGGGGCTACATGTCTTCGCACCCCGCTGCAACCCCGCTGTATACCTTCTTCTTTCTTGCGGGCTGACCAATATGTCCTCGCTCACGTTAATGGGAAGAAGTTGGGAAGCATGAACGATCGCAACAGCTGACGCGTCAGCGCGGCTTCCCTTGTCGTTCTTTGATAGTTCACCGGCTTTAAAATGGCCTCTACGCTGTTCTTCCCTCGCGACTGTTTTCTTCTCAACCGCTATGCGTCCCGGACTTTGGAATTTCATCGCGAGCCAATGGAGCAGGCAGAAGCCTGTGGTCAAAGCTGATCTCACCGGGAAAACGGTCATCGTTTTGGGAGCGAACACTGGTCTCGGATTTGAGGCGACAAAGCACTTTGCGACGATGAATCCGGGACGGCTCATCCTCGCCTGCCGAAGCCAAAGCAAGGGACAGGTTGCAGTGGACAGTGCGTTGTAGCATATGTTTTAACCCCGCCGTCTTATTTATTTCCCGTGTCAGGATTGAAAGCCGCGACGGGCTACTCGAAGGCGGAGTTGTGGATCATCGACCTTGCCGATTTCGAATCTGTCAAGCAATTTGCAGATAAATTCGAGCGCGGTGGGGGCCGTCTCGACATCCTCGTCGAGAATGCGGCACTCGCGACTTTCGATTACGACGCCACCAAGGACGGGTGGGAATCCTCGTGAGTTCTTCCATTCCCCCACTGTGCCAGTACTAATATAGTGTACTAGTCTCCAGGTCAATTGTCTTTCCACCCCGCTCTTGGCCTTCCTCCTCCTCCCGGCGATGATTAAAACGGCCGAACAACATTCCACGGTCCCCAGGCTCGTAGTCGTTTCGAGCGGAATGCACTACTGGTCTGAGATCGACAAACGCGTGGCCGAGAATCCGGATATACTCAAGACGATTGGAAGCGCAGAATATTGTACAAAGAAGTACGCAGCGCGTTGGCATACCTAAAGCAGCTCAATTGATGTACCTCCAGGATCATGGGGGATAGATATCCACTCACCAAGCGTCGGGTTCAATACTCGGTTCCGTCCGGCTGTTAATTAATTTAATTTTTCAGTCCTCAACCTCTTCTTCGTCCGCGCTCTGAACGCGCGCCTCCCACCCTCCACGCCGCTCATCGTCAACGCTGTCGATCCGGGCTATTGTTACTCTGAATTGCGGCGCGGCTTGACGGGTGTCAGGGCTGTGTTCGATTATCTCATGGAACGGGCCCTCGCATTCACGACGGAGGTGGGCAGCCGGCGGCTCGTATGGGCGGCACTGGCATATCCAGATCAGCCCGATAAACTTCGGGGCGAGTTTTCAGCTGGTTGTGAAGTGCAGGAGGTCAGCGATTACGTCCTCAGCGCACAAGGTGCCAAGGTGCAGGATCGTCTCTGGTTCGTCTGGTTCCCTGGAAGATTGTTATGTATTCAGTATTAATTTTTTGTCGCAGGGACGAACTGGTGGACATATTGGGTAAGGTGGACCCAAGGGTTACAACCAATGTCGACAAGTACCTTTCGCACGGCATTGCCGTGTAGAATTGCGATGATTGTTCGACCCGTATCCCGGTGGCGAAATACACTTTCATATTCTGCTGCTTTTCCTTCCATTGTCCATTAGCAGGTCCTGCCAGTATCGTTGTACTTCCCGACCATAATTAAATCATATTTCAGTAACGGTTGAACCTGGTGTCCTCTTCGCCTTCTGGCTTTGTTCGGTCACGGATAACTATGATTCCCGAACAGAAGGATGTGCATATGGCATATACACGCTTACAACATACCAGAATGAAAGGATCATTTAACTCATGGTACAGTTAAGTGTTATCGGCAGCACTGAGTAATCCTGAATTTTTTTGTGGAGGATTGGCCACAAAGGGTTTAAAAATTGAACATTTGCCACACGACTTTGGTTCAATTCATGTTGTACAAGCAATGGTAATAATTTTTGAACGTTAGAACCTCAAGGTCTCAATCCTGGGTTACAAAATTCCTTACCACAACCTGATAAAATTACGCTTAAATTACATACCCCTTGAATTCTAATTTCCCTGAAACACTTTTGCTGTCAATGCCATAGGGTTTACTATAGTCCCAGTTCTCGTTGAATGAAGAAAAATCCATAGTTCCGAGTCCTCGTTCTATCCGAAGGTGCGAACTTGGTGCGAACACAAATTATAAATTATTATTTTCAAATTTCAACTCATTTTTCAACTCTGCGGGCAAATATCACATCAACGGCGGCCGGCCCATGTTCTTTCTTAAGCCTCTCTCAACTCCTGCTTCTGCGGCCGTGGAAATGGACAAAATTTTTGGACAGACAAGTCGTTGGACTCCTGAAAACACAGAGGGGTGTGGGAATTGACTCGTGACTCTTTAAATTTTGATCAGGTGGATGCTATATAAAGTGGTATCCATCTCTTCTTCTTTCTTCCACCCTTCGAGTATCACCTTGGTAACACCTGTTCAGATGTCTGCACAATCTGTAGGGAGAATTTACTTCTGCATATGAGCTTGGCTGATAGAAGACAGGACCCAATGTCTGAAGGCTCTGATGATGAGTGGGTCACTGACTCTGGCTCGACAGACAGCCAGATTTTCACGATATTTGGAGTGAGTGCATAGTGAATTCACTAATAAAAAGCTGGAATCATGTTCCTAGGATGGATACTCAGACACAATAGAAAGAATCCAGCAACTCATCCAACGGACACCTCGAGAACATCCAGATTTTCTCGGATATCAACAAATATTGGGAATAATGTATGGCGACAAATATAATGATTCAGAGGACTTGGATGATCTCGAGGCTTCTTTACAGAGCTTCCAGACAGCTGTGGATCTCAGTCAGGGTCACCCCGGGCCTGAAAGGGCTGAATGTCTGGCAAACCTGGCAGTGGCATTCACAGCTCGATATCAAAAGTTGGGAGAACTGGAAGATCTTGAGGCTGCCCTGCAGAATGACCAACAAGCAGTCCAACTGACTCCAAAAGAACATCCCAATAGAGCAAACTGCTTGGAAAATCTTGCTATTTCATTCACAGATCGATATCAAACTTTGGGAGAGATCACAGATCTCGAGGCTGCTCTGGAACATCTTCAAGAAGCAGTAGAGTTACCCCTGCCTGAGGACCACGATATAGCTCGCCGGTTCAAAGGTCTTGCCATGTCTTTTAGAAAGCGATACAAAAGACTAGGAGAGTTGAAGGATCTTGAAGCTGCATTACAGAACTTTCAGCAAGCTGTAGATCTCACCCCACAAGAACCCTATCGAGCTGGGCATTTACAAAATCTTGCTCTAGCATTCACAGATAGGTACCAGAGGTTGGGTGA